GTGGTCAGAAAAATCTACAATTGGCCACTGGTTTGATGGTGATAACTGACGAACCACACAAGCTAGGCATGTGAAATTCTGTATAACAATACATAAACATACCAATAAATTTTGTACAACACAGTTCGCGATTTGTACATGAACTATAAACATGGAGAGACTGCAAACCTCTGGTGATTATATTTGACAAATTTAACATAATGCAAATCTATACTATTAAATACTATGCACATAAACCCATTATAGCCGGTCACGGTAGCCAAGCGGGTTAAGGCATGCACTGCCTTCGCTCACTTGAAAACCAGGATCATGGGTTCAAATCCACTCAGGGCATGGATGTTTAGTGTTTGTTTGGGTGTGTGTGTTTGTGTGTGTGGGCACACGTGCACGTTTTTCTGTACTTGTGTGCATGTAGAGGCCTTTCAACGAGCTGATCACCAGCCCAAGGGGAACTATCAATTGTCTAAGATATAGTATGCCGAAGTGAAACAACCTAACCACACGGCTCCTCTTACCACTCATAAAGTTCTTCCTACTTTAGATAAACTTTTAAAGAGATCTACAAAGATATAATGGCTAACTCCATTCTTATCCTAACAGCCTACCCTGAAAAAAGAAAACAGCAAACTCTAATTACACTAGAATATATAACACAAACCATCCTAACCTACTTATGCTATTATTGAACTCAGGGGTTTGTCTGTGTGCATTCATTCTGTTTGTGTTGTTCTATGTGTAGGTAGCAGCCTTGCAATGGGTTGATCCCCCATCCAAGGAGTTCTACCAAACGACATATAGGTTAAAGAAACTGAAGAAGCAGCCAAGGTCCAACAAAGGACTGTAGAGCCATAGACAAATAACCATAACTGTTTTGACATACAAGGTGTGGCAATAAAGAAACCGGATTCATGCTCTAACCCTTTATTAAAAAAAAATCAGACAGTCGAAATGTTATCCCCTTCAATGTAGTCCCCTCCCCGATCCCTACACCGCTCCATGCGAATTTTCCACTGTTGGAAGCAGTGCTGCAGGTCATCTTGTGTTATGCTCTTCAAGAGTTGCGTCGCTTTTGCTTTCACTGCATCCACGGACTCGAACCTGGTCCCTTTCAGCGCAGACTTGATTTTTGGGAAGAGAAAAAAGTCGCACGGTGCTAGGTCCGGAGAATACGGTGGATGTTCCATCACTGGAATGT